TATCAGAAGTTTAAACTGGGTGCTGAAGCTGGAGAACCAGTTAATCGTGACAGATACCAAAGGCTGGTGGGCAGGTTGATCTATCTGAGTCACACACGTCCCGATATCTCTTTTGCAGTGAGCGTGGTGAGCCGCTACATGCATAATTCGAGGAAGGGTCATATAGACGCTGTGTACCAGATTCTGAGATATTTGAAGAGTGCCCCCGGAAAAGGGCTGATATTCAGAAAGAATGGACATATGAGCATTGAGGGTTACTGCGACTCTGATTGGGCTAGCTGTGCTGATGACAGGAGGTCCACCTCAGGATACTGCATCTTTATAGGAGGCAACTTAGTCTCGTGGAAGAACAAGAAGCAGTCAGTGGTGGCGAGATCGACAGCTGAGGCAGAGTATAGAGCTATGGCCTTAGGAGTTGCTGAGTTGCTATGGTTGAAGAGTATGCTGGTGGAGCTGAAGCTGGATCAAAGAGCTAAGATGAAGTTATGGTGTGATAACAAGTCAGCCATCAGTATCGCCAACAACCCAGTGCAGCATAATAGAACCAAACACATCGAGATCGATAGGTTCTTCATCAAAGAGAAGATGGATAGTGGACTACTGGAGCTAAGTCATATTTCAACTAAGGACCAGGCAACAGATTGTCTGACTAAGGGACTTAGCTCAGTAGATATGATTAGAGGATGTGACAAGATGTGACTAAGGGACTTAGCTCAGTAGATATGATTAGAGGATGTGACAAGATGGGCTTAGTGGATATCTTTCGTCCATCTTGAGGAGGAGTGTTGACATATTATTAGAGGATGTGACAAGATGGGCTTAGTGGATATCTTTCGTCCATCTTGAGGAGGAGTGTTGACATATTTATATTATGCAATGGGTTATTTGTAAGATGTGTTTTGTAGGGCTTATATAAGCCCATGCTATTTTATTAATGAGATTAGGGTTTTAATTTCAATTCATATGTATGGTATACATTTCTAAACAGCTTACGTTTATACTGCTTCATTGTTTACAATAATTCAACAGAAATTTTTAGTTATTTGGATTAGTATCGATTCTTAGTAACCTTTCTGCTTGTTATACACCTAGATCATCAAGATGAAACTAGCCTTTCTTCTTTTTCTTTCTTTTTTTTTAATCAAGGAAAAGTTATTTTCCATTACCATGAACGTTGAAAGGATGTTCACGCCAGGCATCCCTGGATAGTACAAATTAATTGTGATACATCACAATACCCATTCATCCATCTACTACAATGACTCAAAACAAAATTTGGAACTATCCTGATCACAGCGACAAAAACTAAGTATTTGATCATTTGGACAATGCTTTCAGGTCTTCTTCTGCCATTTCCATGCATTTCTCTGGTTCTTCTCATGCCAGAGCCCATACACAGTCCCGAAATAGCTAATCTTTCGACTCTCTTAAGTGAGCGAATAACCTAGCAACCTAGTAGAAAACCAATTCATGAGGATGTTCCAGTCACAAGTCTCGCATTGAAACCACATTCATTCCATAATACTATTCCAAACAAGATTGGAAAAAGGGACAACTGAAAAATAAATGATCATGGGTTCCATTGGCCTGATCATAGAGAAGGCAAGTGTTGTTTTCGCAACATACCCCTTCTGGCCAGCCTGTCTTGAGATGTGAGTGGTCTTTGCTGGGCAGCAAGCCACATAACGAAAGAGTTCTTAGAAATGTTCATATTACCCCCATACAAGGTTATGCCGAGGTCGTATTTGATGGTCACCATGAAACTCATTGTATATAGCTGATGTTTAATTTTATCGCCATTACAACATCTCTGCAACTTGGCTAAAACCGCATCAACATTTCCCTAGCTAGAATTGGATGGCCATATCCCTATTTTTCAGAACTTGCTTCAAACCCCATGAGTCATTCACCTTAGGTTGCACGTGCCAGATTGCTTCCAACTCCATGAGTCATTCACCTAAGGTTGTGTTAGCATTTTCTTAAGGAAAAGGCAATTGTGAATAGTCCCACATTGGAAGTTGAAGAGAAGTTCAAGTGGTTTATAATGGTTCACTTCCTAATGGGCTTTGAGTAATGTTTTGGGCCTACTAGTGTTTGAGCTCTTTCTCCACACACACGCGCGCGCCACGCCGCGCCGCACTCGGGTTTTGCTTCTCCAGCTTTTATTTTTTATTATGTAACGGCAGCATTTATTATGTAACGGCAGCGTGATTTACGCCCAACGGACGAGGAGATTCAGCATCGGTTACTGGTTCATGAGGCTATATAAAGAGGCAGAGTTCATTCGGGAAAACACACAGAAATTCACAAAGAATTTCATAGCTCCCTCTTCCTCCTTCTGCTACTCTTAGTACTCAAAGATTTTCGGCTACATATTTTGAGGATTATTTTTGGGCAATCATCTTCATCTGAGCAGAAGCTCTGCTACTCGCGCCCGAGTAGAGAGGCCGGCCGTTTCTGGGGGGCTTTTACCGCTAGGGGGGAGGATCAACTACGCCAGGGCGACAGGCGGGTCCTCTATCTTCTAGGGCAGTGTATCACGACTGCACCCCGTTCAGGCCTGATTTTTCATAACTCATTTATTTTCAGTTAAACTAATATTGTTTATTGATAGCAATCTAGAAGATAGATAATTTATTGCTGTTAATTTAAATCTGAAAATAAATATATAAAAAAAAATATTGTTTCTGTTCACCCGAATTTCATATTTGTTTAACTGTTTTAATTTGTTAACCTTTTGCATCTAAGTAGTTAACAAATTATTTTACTGCAATAGTACTGAATTTTATATCTGTCAATTTTCATATTCAGTATCTGTCATAAAAAAAAATAAAATAAAATAAAAAATAAAAAAAAAATCTTTAAGTGAACCGGTTCAAGTTTTCTTGGATTAGTTGGTGTCTAAGGAAAGGTTTAAGGGTTGCATAAAGCGCTCTGCAAGAAACGAGGTACTTAATCGATCATTGATCAACCTCTAGTACTATCCTTACCTGGCCAAACTACCCGAGTAAAACTTTAATCTTTTCACTTTTAGAGTTTTTGGTTAAGAGCAGGTTTAATTAAGTTTCTGGTCTAGTAGTATTAATAAAATTCTTACCCTGTTCAGATTTCAACTACCTAGACTAGTAAAACTCAAATTGGACTTATGGCAATTGATCATTCAAAAAGTGTCAAACCTGAGAAGTTCACCGGTATCAACTATAAACGGTGGGCTAATCAGATGAGATACTGGCTCACTACCTTAGGTCTCTTATCAGCCATTGACTTTCCTGAGTCTTCTACTAGTGGTACTCAACCTTTGACTCCTGATCCTGAACAGTCTGTTCCTTCCACTTCTGGTTCAGGTGCTAGCTCTCTTTCTAGCTCTATGAAACCAGAAGATATTAATTATCATTGTTGTCATAGAATTCTTAGTGCACTTGCAGACAACCTTTATGACATATACTATGAGTTCAAAAGTGCAAAAGACCTATGGCAAGCTCTTGAAGCAGAATATGGCTATGATGATGCCGGAATTCTGCGTTTCACCTCTTCGTCCTTCAATAAGTTCATGATGGTAGATGACAAGCCCATTAATGAACAAATTCATGAATTTTTAGATTTCATCCGTCATCTCCAATCAAAAGGAAACACTTTTACTGATGACTATAAAGTTTCCTGTTTGATTGATAAACTCCCTCCTTCCTGGTCTAGATTTGCTGGAGATCTCCGACACAAGCAAGGAGATCTAACCTTAACTGAGGCCCTCAAGGCCATTCGTATTGAAGACCAGCATAGGCTGAATTCCAAAACCAAGAATGAATCAAAAGCTAAAGTAAACTTGGTAGAGGAAAAGCCTAAATCTAGAAATTTCAAACCCAAATGGAAGAAATTCAAGAAAAACCAACAATCTTTCAATAAATCTTCCTTCAAAACAAATTCTTCCAATTCCAATTCTTCCAGCCATAAGTCTGATGGAAAGTTCTGCTTTGTCTGTGGTAGAACCAACCACATTTCTTCCAACTGTTTCTTTCGGAAGAAGGAACCGGCTAAACCTGCCTCTAAAGGAAATGGATCAAATAAAGTTAATATGATTGAAGAGAATCCAACCTCCTTCAGGTTAGCCCCATCACCTCATCTTGTAAATTCTCTAACTTCTTCCACTGATTGGTATCTGGATTCCGGAGCAAATATACACGTCTGTAATGATCGCTCTTGGTTTTCAAATTATCAGGAATCACGTGGAGGAAGCATAAGCTTAGCAGATGACTCCACTAAACCAATAATAGGAAGTGGAAGTATAAAGCTCACTATGACTTCTGGGAAAGCCCTACATCTGCAAGGCGTCTACCTTGTTCCTTCTCTCCGTCGAAATTTGATTAGTGAATCTCTTCTTCTTAGAACTGGTTATAGGATTGTAAAAGAATCCAACAGATTTGTGATTACAAAGAGTAATAATTTTATAGGAAAAGGTTTTATCTGTAATGGCCTTTTCAAACTCAATGTAATCAATTCCAGTTCTAATGAAAATTCTAAGTCTCCTGTTATTCAAATTGTTGAATCTTGTGATGTCTGGCATGGACGACTTGGACATGTCAATTTTCAAACTTTACAGAAAATGATCAATTTGAATCTTATTCCTAAATCATCTATTGACCTCTCATCCAAGTGTG